AAAAAAAAAAAAAGAATTCTGACAGAGCAGTGAGGCCAAAGGATGGGGACAACAGAGAGAGGGCAGAGGCCACACATACAACAGCACATCTGTGGACCTAAGAGTAAGGGGCTGGGAGAGCGGGACAGTGGTAGCTACTGATGCTAAAGAAGCAGACAGGGCTAGCTCGTAGAAAAGTCGGTGTGTTGTCTGCGAATGACCTAAAACAGCATGGTGACGGCACAAAACACGGTGACGGGCAGAGGCTCTGTGGTCCTAGGTGTGCACTCCGCGCTCTCTCCCCATCTCCAAGGGTGCACACTCCCTTCCCCAGTGGGTGGCCTGTAAATTATGCAACACATTTCACTCAGAAGCATGGAATCTGGCATATGAGAAGAACTCACTGTTTGTTGAGTAAAAAGAAAAGTACATCCCTTTACCCTGAGGTATACGGAAAGTATGCATTTTCCAACACCCGCTCATGCAGCAACTGGAAATGGTGAACGAGAAGCAGAGACTCCACATGGAAGCCACTGCAGTGGCGAGGAATCCGGGACCACTCCTAGGTTGAGGGGAGGACCAATTCCTTACAATAGGGAATGATCATTCTCCCCAATAAGAAACTCAAGAGGAGGCTCTTTAATTTCCACAAACCAGGGCACCAAGGGCAGTGTTACGGACTGAGACTTCTCAACTCAGACTTATCCAACCAACACCCAAAGGAGAGCCGCAGTCCATAGCCCCACACACCTTGTACTGCTGAGAGTCTCCCGGGTATAACTGCAGAGCTTCCTTATACAAGTGTTTATCTTTTATTAAGTTTAAGCATTCCGGGAAAAACTCAGGTCCTGGAGGAAAAAGAATCGTACAGACACGGGTTTAGCTTTCAGAAGTGTTAACGGACCGCACTTACACTACACTGCCATCAAGGTGACTCCTACTCAGAGCAGTGCTCCGAGGTGTTTCCAGTGATGTCCACTTCATGGGAGCAGATGGCCTCACCTTTCTCCCACGGAGCGGCTGGGGGGTTTGAACTGCTGCTTTGTGGTTAGGCAGTGCTTACTGGAAAGCACTACCAGCCAGTGGCCCCCAAACAAAACCAGCAAGGAAACTTTACAGAACCAGTGTCTCTGGAGGAAAGAGTCCAGGAGTTTGAGTTTGTAACACGCACCAGAAGCACTCAACAGAATCAGGGTTCTACCTGAAAGGAATTCTCTCTACTACCCCTGACAAACGACCAGTTAGGCCAGTGTTTTCCCAATCTCCTTCACCAGAACCACTTGGGGTGGGGGGTGGGGGTTGAGCGTACTTATTAAAACCCCACAGCGAGTCCTTCCCAGACCTGTTAAAGCACCAGCTCCTCCACGTGCTTTACCGTGCACCACAGGGACAAGGCCCTGTCCCCGGCTTCAGCCTCA